TAGGTACTCTTGCTCATCATGCCAAATGACACTGGATCCTTCCATCAACCTGTTTTCTCCATCCATATAACCAAGATCACGACCATCAAAGGATGAGCTAAGAGCCACGCAAGCCCTTTCATTCTACTATGGTTCCCACATATCTAGTCAATTCTACAGTGCTTTAATTAGCAATAGAATGGAAAAGCATGAGCGACACCGGATTTGGAGCCCAGTACCGCCATTTACAAGCTATGTAACCTTGGAATAGCTCCTGAACTCCCGAGCCTTTGTTTCTTCATCTGTAAACGAGGGTAGTAATAGCACCGGTCTCTCGGGGGTGCTGTGAACACAGAGTGACCATGTAGGTAGGATGCTTGGTACCAGATGCTTAGTATTAGCTATTACTAAAATGTTTTGGATTTATGAAAAGCAGCCGATTCTAATTTCTTGGTCCTCAGCACTATAGCTTAGATGTCGATACCGAACCAGTATCTGAACATGATTTTCATCTTGTCAAAATCAAATGAAGTTTCCCACCGTTGATTTAATTTTCCAGGGACATTTTTCTTTGCTAAGCTGAGCTACTAATTCGAAATTGATGGGCAACATCTAGCCTGAGTGACATATTCTGCCGACGTGAAATTAAACTCCCTCTTAATGCTAAAGACTGCGTATCTATACCTATGTCACAGTCTGTTCAGACTTCAAATGCTGACCGGGGCTGCTGGGCGCTGCTGAATAGAGTGTTATTGTGGTGAGAAGAGAAATGGACGGTAGTTAATGAACTTGCATTTCAATTGAGTAGGGTTTTTAATAATTTTTTTAAAGGCTTTTTATAAATCCTTTTGCTCAGCAACAAGAAAAAGAGGAAAAGAGCACTCAGCTGGGAACAATAGCTACTTAGCTCACAAAAATCATTAGAAGGAACATTTGGTCTCCCAGGCCCTGCAATTTCACTGGTAGGCGATAATCCACCTAAAACTCAGATTCCACCTAAAACCTGAGCCCAGAGAACCTCCACTTCTCTAGCTAATAAATCATACTAATGAAAATTCTCATTTCCTAATGCGGACAATTCCACCATAACTAAAATTTTAGCTCGTAATTCACACAACGTTTTTGACAGGTAGAGGACACTGACCTCACGTTAACGGGATATGTGCTTCGGGTTGCCTTGCCATTAGGAATGAGGTGTGACGCTGCCACATTTGCTCACTGCCATCAGACGCCCCTGGGAGCTGAGACCTTCATTCAGGAGGTGAGCCTTGAGCGAGGGGCAGCGCACCTGTGGGTGGCACAGCTCCGCCTGTGAAATGAGCTGCCAGACGGGGGACATTTAATGTCCCACTGCAGCCTCCGTAGCTCATCCTAAGTGGGCTGAGCCAGAGAAACTTCACATTGTTGACACTGAAGGCCTGGCTAACTGATCATCTCCCACAGATGCCATTCAACTACCTTAAACTAATTGCCGGATGTGTTGAAGGTTAAGTCACTAAGAACTCCTTTGTGTGTGTGAGTTTTCCCATGATAACCAAAGGCTGTACTTGGATAAAATATGTTATTTCTAATGACCCTGCTCGGTAATCGTAAACATGGATTTCTTAATTCAAAAGTAGCGAGCAAAAACAAAATTCTCTATGCTTAAGAATCTTTTTTTTCTATTTAGTTTGAGTATACTACACATTTTAAGAATGAACTTATTTTATATCTTTACTGTCTGACACAGTGTTCAATATTTGCTGAATGACTAAAATGCATTTCAGACCAAATAAAGGAAATGGTTTGAAGATTAAATAAAACGTCTTCCACAATTGACACACGTTTTTCCTCACTTCCTTCCACTTCTGATTGTAAAGCTGGAGATTGGCACCATCGACTGTAGTCTAGATGGCATTCTGGTCTCCCCTTCGTTAACTGTCTTTTTGACTTACACTTTCTCTAGGATCTGGGAGGTATTTCGTTTTTAAAAGGTCTTTTCTGCTCCCTCAGATTGCATCTACCATAGAAGAATAAACAGAAACTGCGATCTCAACAAAGAACTTAATTAAGAAGCATATGCAATGACAGCAAATGTGCAAAAGCAATCTTTACTAAATGCAGGTAACCATTCAAATAAGCTTTTTATAGATGAGTTGAGGGTGCGTAGCTGTTTAAAATCCAATTTTATAAGGACGCTGCCGTTTAGACAATGAGCACCGAATTAATATCTACCTAAAATAGTAGTTGTATCACTTGAAACGACTTCAGCTAGTTGTACTTACATTCTACACACCTGACAAGTTTTTTAAAACGATGTCTTGACTGATTTGATTAAGGGGAGGGGAGGTTCAAACCCTGCCCCGCTACACAGCGAATCCTTTCACAGTCCTCCGTATCATCTCCCGTTGACTCTAGGCAGGTTCTGTGGCTGTCAGAACACATCCAGTTTTCAGACCCAGGTTGAGTTTGCAGCTTCCGCTTCCTTCCCTAGGACCATCCGCGCTGTAACATAGCTACCGCGGTGTGATGATGCTCTCGTGGCCAGCGGGGAAGCTCTGTAGAGAGGAACAGGCTACAGCCGAGTGCCAGCACCAGCATGAAGTGGCCCCTGCCCTAGTCGGGTGGCCCAGTCCAGGCGGCATGGAATAGATGCACGATCTCCACCATATGCTCCCAAATTGCGGATTTGAGAGTGAAGTAAATGATCACTGGAAGATATCTCAAATTCTTCAAGGTATTTTGAGATTTACAGTGAATTAAAAGGAGCAGTAAAAGCAGCAATAATTATAGCTTTGAGCATTTGCTATGTGATTAAATGCTTTACACATCCTTATTCCCTGCAATCTTATCTGATAGGCTTTTTTCCTTTATTTTATAGATGAGACAATTATAGACTTTCACATTAATTGTCCAAGGTCACGTAATGGGAGGATAGTATTCAAAACCATATCTGATTCCATCACCATGCTTAGCAGGAAAACGGGAATGAAGGAAATTCCAAGCTAACGCCAGGGACTCAAATTCTCATGACTACAATAATAATTAGAATATGTCAATTAAAAAGTGTGTCCTGAAGGGGCCAGAGTATTGCTTCATGTAACATCCGAAATTAGCAGTAACATGTTCTGAAGCACAGGATTCAGAAAACATTTCCTTAGTACTTACAACTCTATGACATCTACTAGGAACAAGTGCGCCACGCTAGAAAGAGGCCATGGGGGTGAATGACAACATTCTGGCTCCAAAGGTTCTTACACTTTAGTAGGAGAAATAAGGCACGTGACACAAGGTACCAAGTTACAAGTACCGTAAAGTGAGGAATAAAGTGGCATTCGTTTATTCGACAAATATTTTTGGGTGCCAACGTAGCAGCAAACAAGACAGACACGGAACCGCTGTTGGGGGGCTGGCGCTTCACATTACTTTTTCCAGAACCACCAGAAAAGGAGGGGTACACTTTAGCTTGGCCTTGAACTAGTTTAGGCATGTGGAGGCCTGGGGATTAGAGGCATTTGAGGTATGGAGATAATAGTGAGCAGAAAAATGAAAACACTGACCTACGAGAAAATTAGGACATCTGCAAAGAGACTTTAAAGCGAGAACGGTGCTTTGCTAACTCTAAAATTCAACCTATTTTAAGTCAGACCATTATTTTATGCACTGAAATCAAAAGCCATCAAACATTTACTACAGTGGCTCTCAATCAAGGGTGCTTTTCCCTCCAAAGGACATTGGGCAATGTCTACAATATTTTTGGTCACAACAGAGGGGGTACTATTGGCCATTAGCGGGCACAGGGACAGGTGTTGCTAACCTGCCTACGATGCACGGGAGAGCCCCACAAAAAGGGGTCCTTCAGCCCCATCCTGCTAACATCACCGGCTCTGAGAACTCGCCAACTACAGAGCGTAGCAACCTGACAGCTGCGCCTAGACTACTAAAGAGTACTTTAAGGCAGATGAAATGCAGCAGTTCGGGGCCCCTGGGGTGAGCCCAGAGTGAGTGAAGGGGGATGGGGCAATACTGCTGGTGCTGTGTCTGGACCTGTTTCCTCGGGCTGGGGATCAGGGACCGTTCTGGGAACATAATTCGATGCAGTGTAGATCACAGGGCCAACCCTCCAGGGCCACGGTCAGTCCCCTGCATCTGAGAAACTCTGCAATATAATCACAAGGATCCGTACAGCCCATTTCCGCTGTCCTGACTGATTTCGGAAGAAACAGCGCCGACTGGCCAACCGCACGGCACAGCTCTTATTGTTTTCAAAGCCCAGCTCTGTGTCGCTTACTCTGTGCGGCTCCCCCGATGCTGTTTCAAATTTCTTTCCTCCTTTTGAACGCTGTGAGCATGTCACATGTACGTCTCTAATCGTATCCACGTGCTTTACCCTTCTTCTGAAAAGAAGTTCCTTGGGGTCGAGATCCACGACCGGTTCACCTGTAACTCTCAGTGGGCCCATTACAGCATCTTCCACGTTATAAGTGGTCAATAAATATCTGTAGAACGAGTGATTGAAGAAACATACAGCACCGAAGACTATAATTAAATACAAACTGCTCAGACTTCTCCCGGCTCTTTTCGGCCTTTCCTCACAGGGCTCATTGCGTAAATCTTCCAGCGTTTTAGCAGGTCTCCAAATTCTCAAGCTTCAGCTACAGGGTCTCAGAGAGAACAGAGTTCTTTAGCAAGTCCTAACCACTGCTTTAGAAAACACCATTAAGTTTCGCATCATGTCCCCATGGGGTAGTAGTCAGTGGCCTCAAAATGTTTAAAGCACCTTCCACAGGCAGAGTATTGAATTCCTCTGAGGAAACGAGGGACCATGCGAGTGTAAATATAAGCAGTAAAACCATTTCTACTCACTGCTCACAAATACCAATTACCTTACTGATGATCACATTTTGGGGGGTACCTTTGTGTGGGGGAGGGGAAAGAGGGAGATTTAGGACGAAAAGAACAAAAGTCTTAAATGTATGACCATCACAGAGAAAGTCAGAATATAAGGGAAACAGATCAGTTACAGAATTTTAAGGCATTCCTTTAAAAGGTAATAAAAGGACAGATTTTTAACTTTTATTATTATATAGCTTAACAGCGGACTGGGTCATTATGCATGGGCGGCACACGTGTGAAATTCTGACGGTGGAAGGTGAGGTTAATTTGCAGGACTTTGTTTTTTAAGTCCCCCGTTTCCCTTCGGAGCAGTCAACGTTTGGTGGTTGCCTCCAGCAAGTCTTTTGCTTCATTTATTTTGGTGGCTAAGTACGGAGACCCACCTGAGGACAAAGAAAAGTAAATGGGTTAAAACACACCTGATTACCGACAGTTTTTAAAGTCTTAAACATGAAAAACATTCTTAATTATAATTCTGATATTCTGCCACACATTCGTCCTCTGGCAAAATATTTTATAAGCTGACTAGAAATCAAAACAGCACAAATTAAACTTTAGTGAAGCACTACGGATACCCAACAATTAAAGATAACCTTTGAGAAAGATAACGGAAGTTATGATCAGGAATAATTTGAAAAACACTCAAAACATTTCACTGGTCAGACACTACCACTCAAATATTTAACCGGAGAATTCTATGAAATGAAGTGGATGACAGGTAAATAAAATAATGGTCTTTCTCCAAGACTTTTTTTTTTAAGAGGGACGAATATTTATCTTTGAAGGAGGATATCTTTCTGAAGGAGGTAAAGTAGTCCAAGGGATCTTTCGGAGTCTAATCAAATCTTATGATGTCACAAAAATAAAATACATGTTAGAAAAGGCAACTATGTACTACCCAGCTCTAAAAATCACATTTACTAATAGATAAACAATAAATGAATAAGAATAAAAATAATGATAAAGGACACGCTCCCTGTTCTCTGAAACGATCCTATTAGAATACTTATGAAATAGTCTTACATGCACTGTGCCCTAAAATAAAATTAAGTCAGTTCTTTTTAGAGTTCTTTGCAATGAATTCTTTCTAATGCAAACAGCAAGAGGAAGATTGAGGTGAATTCCAAATTCAGAATCATTATAAATCACAAACAGAACTCCCTGACATATTAAAAATACTAGCCCCAAACTGTCACGTTAAGCCTGGTTAAGCCTCACACGCCTTCTAACTCCCAGTCCTGAACGCTTCCGTTAACACTCAAGATAACAAGTATATTACAGTTCACCAGCTTCCCTGTTTTTCTTCTTTATTCTCCCCTTTAGCTGCTGAAAACATTCTAAGACCTCAGTAGCTTACGACAAACCAAAAAACATCTAGATAGCATTGGTGTAAACTGTCCTGACTCATTTCGAGTTTTTAATGACAATCATACTGCTCACGTGACTAATGGAGACAAAAGCAGGAAAAGCAGATGGACAGCACAGTACCCCAGGAGCCAGGGCGGTGGGGGCGGGAGCGGGAGCTAATGCAGCTCTCTGCCCTTGACACCACTGACAAGCCCACGTCCAGGTCTGAATCACTATAAACACACACGGAATAGACCGCAGAGTGTCCTCGAATGTCCAGTAAGATCTTCGAATGACGTCGGTGAAGGTTTCCGCATGTACTTCGTTATGAAACAAACTGATTTCATGATTCTCTTTGAAAATGATCTGAGAATCAGGTAATGCCAATCTTGGTAAGTAAGCCATTTAAATTCTTAGTGACCGAGATAATGCCAGGCATCTTGTATGTCTTTAACAAATATTAAGATATTAACCGAACTCAAAATACGGCCTTTGATTGAAATGCATTCTGGATATTTAAATCACAGGCCATAATGTGCTCACTCAGCAGACAGAAAAAAATGAAAGGCACAGAAGATCAAAAGTCTCATTAAACATTGTATTTTTTTGATGGTGACGTTAGAGAAAACATGAGTTTATTCAGAATAAGGCTGAATCACCGCTCTCACTAAGTTGGAGGGACACTGGGCTTTCAGTTATGTGCGAGGTAGAAACTCTGGCTCGGCTCTCATTCTACCCCCATTCCACCTTCTCAAGATTTAGGAAAGTTCCTAAGTCAAAGACTGCAGCTCCTATATTCCCTTCAAGTGGTGTTTGATGCGGACCGAGGTCTCATCAATGAGGAGCGACGCTGTGAGATCTGCAAGGCCGGGGCTTCCTGCAGCCCGTTACTCTGGCCCGCGAGCGGGGGTGTCGCAGCAGGGGCCACGACCATGCTCCTGTGCAGTGTATCCTGTATTCAGTGGAAACGATATACACGCGCATCTTTCAATCCTGCTCAGATTTCTTGGGGAAATCACCTGGATTCCATTTAATTAGAAGACTCACTCTCACCCTTGATCTCTGAATTCCTACTAACCGCTGTTGGAGCCCTTCCGCTTTTGGCTCTCACGAGCCAACCATTAACACCGACTGGAAGGGCTGAATAAAACGCAAGCCCGTCAGCATGAAAGGAGCGGAGGGGGTCCACCAAGTCAGCCAAGTCTCGAGGGCCCCGATCCTGCCCGTGAGCCAAATGCACTGCGACAAGCCCAACAATCTGCACCGCTTTTTTCCTCTGATAAACTCAAACATGAAAAGCACATACCATACAATTCCACTTGGATGAAACGCTAGAAGAGATATCTCTAATCTGCGGTGGCAGAAGGTGGGACGCTGCCCACACTGGGGTAGGCATTGGTAATGGGAAGGAGCACCAAGGAACTTTCTGAGTTTTGATGAGCTAATATTTTGTTTGTTATTGTGTCTATGTACATCTTGTGAAATCTTTCTTCATCAGGTTTTGTTATCGAAGACATGCTATCATCCTCCCTCACAGAAAGAGTTAGAATGTTTTTTTTCCTTCTATTTTTTTTTTTGAGGGGGGAGTGAAATTCACTTATAAAACTATTGTGGCCAGGCTTTTCATTTGCGGGAAGGTTTTTCATTAAAGATGCAAATGCTCTAATAGAAAGGAAGGATTCTCTTGATTTTTCCATTTCTTCTTATGTCAGTTTTGATGTTTTTCCTAGAATTTATTTCACATAAATTTTAAATACTTTAGTGTGAAGTTGATTAGTTTATTCAGAGAACTAACCACTGACTCTGTGGGAATCAGCGTTCTCTTGAACGCTGATTTCTATTGTAATGCATGGGTTAGGGTTACTTAGAAGTACACTGATTAATTTCCAAACACTGGGATTCCCTAAATGTTTGTTATTGTTTACTAATTTAATTAGGTTTATAATAAGAATCCAAAATTGGCTTTAAAATTAGAAAATTAATCAATGTAATACATCACATAAACAGAGTAAAGAATAAATGTCATGTTGTCAGTAAGTATAGAAAACACAACACAAATTCACAATAAAAACTTGTAGTCAGATAAAAGGAAACTTATAAAATAGAAATATCAAAAAATATAGTAACTATCACACTTAATGGTGAAATCTTGAAAGCTCTAGCTCTGAGATCAGCAACAAGAAAAGGATATTTACTATTTTAATTTCTATTTAACACTATATGGGAGGTTCTAGCTATTGTAAGAAATGCCTTCCTCAATGTCCAATATAAAAAAAAGAAATAAGGATTAGAAAGAAATTATCATTTTTCATAAACTACATGACTGAGTATGTAGAAAACCCAAAAAGACAAAATCAAAATCTAAAGACAAAATCAAAATCTAAACAAAATCAAACAAAATCAAAATCTAAAGACAAAATCAAAGAACTAATAAATGAATTTAATCAGTGGTTGAATATAATAGCAATATATACAAAAAACAAATTTTTATGTCCTAGAAATAAATAATTATACAATATAAATTTAAAAACCAACATGATTTATAACGGAATTCAAATATCAATACCTAGGAATAAATATAACAAATTATGTACATGACAACCCAGAAAACTAAAAAGCCTTATCGAAATAAATTAAAGATGACCTAAATAAATGAAAAGATATGTCTTGTTCATGGATTAGAAAATTAAATATTGTAAAGACATCAATGCTCCCAAATAGATCTACAGATTCATAATAATCCCAACCATAACCCCAGGAGATTTGTGTGTCAATATGTATGTGTGTGCTTGTGCTTGTATACATGCAAACTGACAATATAATTCCTAATTTATATTAAAATGCAAAGAGTCAAACATAGCTGAAAAATATTAAATAGCAAAAATATGAAGGATTTAAACCACCAGAAAAAAAGACTTGTTATAAAGCTATTGGAATTAAAGTGTAGTAACACAAGCCTAAAGAAATTCATCAACAAAAGAGAGAAAATCCAAAAACATTTCCATAAAAATGGTTACTTGATTAATAACAAGGTAATATTATGGATCCCTGGGGAAAGAATGCCCTTTTCAATAAATAATGCTGGACCACTTGGCTATCTATATACAAATAATTGAACCTTGACCCTTATCTCATACCGTATACAAAAATCGATTCCAGTTTATTACACATAAAATTATTTAAGATAATGTTTCCATAAATTACTTTCATGACCTGAAGATTTTATGATCTTGAGATAGGCAAAAATTTCCTGAACAAAACAGAAAAGCACTATAAAGGGTAAGTTTGATTAGCTGTACTATATTAAAATTTAGAATTTCTGTTCATGAATGAACACCATTAAGCATATGCAAAAGCAAGCCATAAAGATATCTGCAATACAAAGAACTCATATCTAAAATACCAGAATATATAGCATTCCCCAAAGACAGTAAGAAAAAGAGACAACTGAACAGAAAAAAACAGATAAATAAATGGGAGGCTATTCACTACCATGGAATACTGTACAGCGATAAAAGTAATGAATCACTCCTACGACATTCACTACCACATGAATGAATCTCACAAAGACAGTGAATGAGAAGAGACGACTGTAGAAGACTACACTCATTATGATGCCACTTGCATTAGGTTCAAAACAGCCAAGTTCATCTGTTGTGGTCAAAGCCAAGATAGCGGTCACATCTGGGGAAGGAGAAGTGACTCGAAAAGTACCCAAGGAAAGTTTTTTTATGGTTTAATTTCTTAACTTGGGGACTGGCTATATAAATGGGGCCATTTTGTGACAATTCACTGAGTTGTATACTTACGATGTGTACTTTTATGAACTTATATTTCAATGTTTAAAAGTTTATTGAAAAACTAGAGATATGTTGATCTGTAGGTAGTTAGTTGACATTACAAATTTAGATTGTCCAAAAAATCACAGGGGCTCAGCAAACCTATGATCAAGACCATGTTGATGACTAGGCGTTGTTCTAACATATTATTTCATTTGGTTCTTCCAACCATCCTTTGTAGTTGCTCAATTCTTGTT